TTTGTGAACAATATCTGAGAAAAATAGACCTTTTGTGTACATAGAAAAAGTCTTAGATCTTTGAGGTCAGCTCATGAAAAATGGGGGCAAAAACTAAAGTGTTGCATTTATAATTTCGTTTAGTGTATTTTTATAACATAGGTTTTAGAGTGACTGCATGGCCTTAAAGTGTAAGCTTATATGCCAACATCATGACAAATATAGGGTAGTCCCATTCCAATGTATATTGAAACGTTTGAACTTTCTCTGGTTTAAATTGAAGATTATGCTAGCTTTAGTGTACTAATAATCTTAATTTTAATAAGGACAGGAGGCGAGTATTTTGCATTAACTCTCTTTACTAAACTCCACAGCAGTAAAGAAAAACGTAAAGAGTAACAAATAAATCACTGAGCAGCATAGTATATAAGGGTCATGCTGCCTGTACACTTCCTCTTTCTTAAAGCGATATCCAAGTCCAGATAGAGCTCGAACATCCAGAAACTCAACGAAACAGTAACTGCGGTCTCTGGCGAGCGGAACTTGAGGAGACTCCTGGTAACGAGATAGGAGGAAAGACCAAACGAAGCCGTCATCCCATCTTACGGAGTCATGAGGTTAACGAACCAGCGACCAGTGGAGGTCCTGAAGAGGGTTACACTGAAAGGAGAGTATAAAATCGGTTAGGTACTGAACCGTAACTGTTCACGCCTGTGGGCTTTAACAGAATGGTGTAAATTAAACAGTACAGACAGATTGTAAGCTGGCCATAGGCTAAATATGTGTTAGGTGTAAGCATGTTGTACAACTAAACTGTCCGTCTAGGTGGAAACACTGGGGATAGAGATGGAAGGGATACCGAATATGTCCAGAAGATAGAGTAACTACTAACATGAATCCCAAAATCCATCACCTTAAGATCCACTCCCCCGAGGAGTCAGGGTAGGGAACAAAAGGGAGGGAAAATACTCGCCTCCTGTCCTTATTAAAATTAAGATTATTAGTACACTAAAGCTAGCATAATCTTCAATTTTATAACATGACAGGAGGCTTCCTATTTTGCAATTTTAACGCTGAAGAAGAGACATCCCAGCAGAAGGGGGAGTGCGAAAGTAAAATGTACGGAAAGTGGATTCCCTAGACCAGTCCGCCGTTCGGAGAATATCCGAAAGGGACGCCCCTGCCAGGAAGGCTGAAGACGCCGCCGCTCCGCGAACGGAGTGGGCGCCGAATGCGGGGTCTATACCTGCGAGGGAAAGGATCCAGCGGATCCATCGGGCCAATGTGGTGACCGAGACTGGGGCGTGAGGGCGTACGTAGGAGACTAGGAGTTGGCCCGACGTAGAAGACCGGAGCGAGGAGGTAACCGAAACATACCTGCGGAGGATGGACACGACACAAAGCTGCGGGTCATCGGGAAAAAAGGGGTAAAAGACCGAGGTCGAACCTGACTTAATGCGACGGGAAATGTGGAAGGTGACCCCTTCAGGGGCCACCTCGAAAGCGTCCACGTCGAAGGCCCGAACGTCCGAAACCCGTCGGAAAGATACAAGACAGAGGAGGAAAGCACACTTAGCGGATAGTTGGCGTAGGGAGAGGCGGTCATTCGGAAGCCAATCCCTGAAGAAGCGGAGAACCAGTCCCACATCCCATAGGTGAGGGTATCTGGGGGCCGGGGGGCGGCGGAGCCGCATACCGCGGAGTAGACGGCAGACCAGAGGGTCTTTGCCGACCGGGAGATCCCCGACCGGGGTGTGAGCCGCCGAAATCGCGGAGCGAACGACGTTGACCGAATGGTAAGAGCGCCCAGATGAAAACAAGGAGGAAAGAAAATTAAGAATCATGGGAATAGGTGCTGTAAAGGGATCGGAGTCCCGTTCCATGCACCAAGTAGACCAGGAGGCCCAAGCTGAAAGGTAACAGCGTCTAGTTCCCGGGGCACATGAGTCCCATAAGAGGTCCCTAGCAGCCTGCGATAGTCCGCTGACTCGCCAGGAACCCCGGAAAGAGACCAAGCCACCAGGGGTAGCCGGTCTTCCAGGAGTAGTGGGTGGAGATACCCTTTGGGATCCGTGAGCAGGTCCGGGAAGGATGGTAGGAGGAGAGGGTCCCTGTAAGAGGAAGCCAGGAGTTCCGGGAACCATGGTTGGCTCTGCCACAAGGGCGTTATGACAACCAGTTTGATCTGTTGCGTCCGCATCTGGTGTAGTGTTCTCGCAATCATGGAGAATGGGGGAAAGGCGTAGGCTCCTGTCGTCGGCCATTGTTGGAGAAATGCGTCTGTCGCCTTGCTCTCCGGGTCCGGGAGCCAGCTGAAGAACTCCGGGGTCTGGTGATTGTTGTGAGAGGCAAACAGATCCAGGTGAAAGGGACCCCTCTGGGCTGTCAGGGCCCTGAAGATTCTCGTGTTTAGCTTCCAGTCGCTGACGTCTCTCCAGTGGCGAGAGAACCAGTCGGCTGTGAGATTGATTTCTCCCGGTAAGTATTCCGCTTGTAGCGTGATGTTGCGAGGGAGGCAATAGTCGAAGATGTCTCTCGTGATATCCGACAGCAGGCGTGAGCGAGCGCCTCCCAGACGGTTGATGTACCGGACTGCGGATACATTGTCCATGCGCAGGAGGATGCAGCAGTTGGATCTTTCCTGGGCCAAGCTGCGGATCGCGAAGGATCCTGCCAGGAGTTCGAGGCAATTGATGTGCATGGAGAGCTCCTGCGCCGTCCATGTTCCCCCCGTGGAGATGGTTCCGTTGGTGGCACCCCATCACCACAGGCTGGCATCTGATTCCAATACGAAGTCTGGAGTGTCTCCGAATATGGCCTTGCCGTTCCAGGCTTGCATGCTGTCCAGCCACCATGATAGTTCCTCGCGAACCTCCGTCGTCACCGGGACGGGTTGGTCGTAAGTAGGCCTGCGGCGTAGGTATTTCGCCTTGAGACGTTGCATGGCCCTGTAGTGGAGGGGACCCGGAAATATGGCCTGAATGGAAGCAGAGAGGAGTCCTACAATCCTGGCCAGGTTGCGTAGTGGAATGGAATCGAGACGGAGAACCCTGCGAATCTCCTTGCGAATGGCTGTGATCTTTGAGGCTGGTAGCCTCAGAGTGCATGTCGTCGAGTCGATCTCGAAGCCGAGGAATTGTATCGTCTGAGTAGGGGTCAGCTCCGATTTCGGTTGGTTTACCACGAAACCCAGAGATTCCAGTAGGGACACTGCCAAGTGAGTGTGTTGGCGTAGTCTGTGTTCGTCGGAGCAGAAGAGAAGGTCGTCTAAGTAGATGATGCATCGAATGCCCCTGGATCTCAGGTGGGCCACCACTGGTTTTAGAAGCTTGGTGAAGCACCATGGGGCTGAGCTGAGCCCGAAAGGGAGGCAAGTGAATTGCCAAGGGCGTCCGTACCAGAGGAAACATAGGAGTGCTCGACAGTCCGGGTGTACCGGGACTGACAGATATGCATCTTTCAGATCGAGCCTGGTGAACCAGTCGTTGCTTCGAAGAAGGTCTCGCAGGAGGTGGATGCCCTCCATCTTGAAGTGGCGATAGACCACATGTGCGTTGAGGGCGCGTAGATTGATGACCGGTCGGTATTCTCCCGACTTTTTCCGAACCAGGAAGATGTTGCTGAAGTAACCACCCCCGTCGTGGGCCGGCTGGATGGCCCCTTTGTCTCGGAGCTCGCGTAGCTCCGCGTTGACGAGGTTGTGGTCGGAGGACGACATGTGGATGGGGTGAGGGGGCTGAACCTGAAAGGGGGTCCCCACTAGGTCTATGATATATCCCTGTACTGTTTGTAGGATCCATGTGTCTGAGCATAGGGCGGCCCAATTCTGGAAAGAAAGGGAAATACGGCCCGCAGTGCGGGTGCATGGTAACAGTGGAGGAATTTGGGTCCTTACCTGCAGCAAAGCGGGAACGTCCGCGTCCGCGGGGTCCACGACCTCTATCCGAGCCTCTGAAAAAGGGTTGCTGCCGATAGTCCCTTGTCGGGTAGAACGGTGTTGGTTGGGTGCGGGGGCCTGAAGGCCAAAATCGGCTGGCGGCACGGCCCCGCTGCCGGCCAGCCCTTCCAAAAACCCCTCTGGTAGGGTTGCTCCTGAAAACTCTGCGCATAGAGGATTGCGCCTTATTAAGGATGGTGAACACGTTTACGTGTTTATTGAGTTCCTTGAGGAACGGTTCGCCAAATAGTTTTCCTTGTGCCTGGGGCCCAATCTCCTTTGTGCCAAGGTCTGCCAATTTACCGTTAATACGGTATAACGCTGCTTTTCGTCTCTCCGAAGAGAGCGTAACATTAGTGTTTCCAATGAAACAAAAACACCGTTGTGCCCATTCACGAACGTCATGTGCCCATTCCCTGATGTCCTCGGCAGAGAAGGAGTCGGCTTTGGCGTAGGCATCATCCGCCAGATACATAATGCGAGCCAGGGGGCCTACGGAATCCAGCAGGTTATCCTGGGCGCCCCATAGGCCTTTCTCTACCCCTCGGCGAGGGTCTCTACCACTGCGCATCATGAAGGTCGACATGACCTTGTCAAATTCAGGGGTCTGAGCGACCTTATCCGGCAGGGAAGGGCGTGGGCATTCAGACCTGAGTCGGCTGCGGACCTCCTTCTCCAGAGGTTTGCGGAGCCACAGGTGCATAAACCTGGAAAGGTGTTCTGGAGGTGACCAGTCACCCGATCTGGGGTGCCGTATGTTGCGGGGGTCGAACATCGCCTGACCTGAGGGGTCCAAAATGGTGTCTGAGTCTAGAGGAGGTTCTGCGTCCGCAGTGTCCTCAACACCTCCAGTCTGGGCCGCACCCAGGAGGGTCTCCCGCATGAAAGCGGAGACAGATTTCTTGTCCGAGCCCCATGCGTCGTAGTCCGACTCAGAAGCGTCAGCTTGCCACTCATCCAACACTGACATGGACTGGGCAGGGTCCTGCTCTTCGTCTGAAGAGTACTCCTGACGCGGGGCCGGGGTGTGTAGTTTGGCAGATTTGCGCTTGGCAGGTGCCTTCCCCTTAGGCGGTTTGGGTACATAATCTTCGCCTTTGTCATGGCGCTTTTTATGGCGGGAGTCATCCCTTATCTGATAGTCGGACAAGTCGGAATCCGATTCGTGGCGTGTACGTCTGCAGGTTTTTGGTACGTCAGGAGCCGGAGCTCGGGCCTTGGAGAGTGCCTTCTCCACAGAGGCAGCGACAGCTGCGTTAATCATAGCCTGGAAGTCCACAGGGACGTTCTGGGAATCTTCCATGTTAGGGTAGGCTGATACGTCACTGAAAGGCACAGCAATAAACGGGTACCCAGGTCTTGATAATAGGCGTAGGGTCAGATTTGATAGTATGGTGGGACCAGGCCCAGAATAACCCCAGCAGGGTATAGTAGTGACCTCATAAACTGGGGCTCACCCAGTTAGAGAGAACTGCAACAGCTAGTCTCCCAGTAAGCAGCGTATTTATAGTGGGGGCTCACCCCGGTTGCACAGGGTTGGGACTCTTAAGTGCAGGTCACAATAATAAACAGGCAGCAGCACTGACCTGACTGACCCAGCCACAGGATATAGCTTGATAGAAGCAGATGAGGCACAGAGACTGAGTAGCAGACTGATTGCAGCTAGATGGAGTGCTGAGCAGGTAATCCTTCAGTCACAGGGGTGTGAGACACAAAAGGTGTGAAAAACAGCAATGCAGAGGTAACAGCAAGTTAGCACAGCCACACTGAGTCCCTAATGAGATGCACGAGGCAAAACTAAGATGGCCGCGGGAATCTCGCGATGTCCGCGATCCAAAATGGCGGCCGCGAGTATAGGCCACAAGCCGGGGACTAAATTTTGAGGCTGGCCACGGGCGGAAGCTGGCCGGCGCGAAAACGGCCGCGGACGATTCCGGCCGCAAGGAGGGAGCCCAGGAGGGCAGTGGGGGGACCTGGGGAGACCGAGGGGAGGCCCAGGGAGGGTCCCAAAATGAACAGAGGGGCAGAGAAGAGGGCAGAAACCCACAGAGAGCCCCTAGTCCCACAGCCCAGTACAGAATAGAAATAAAGGGAAATAAATTAAAGCAATAATAGAGATAATGACAATAGGATGGAACAAATAGATCATGACAATAAATGTATAAATGTATAAAGCTCCAGAGGAGCAGATATTCTGACCTGTCTGCGATGGAGCAGTAAAGAAAGAGGAAGTGTACAGGCAGCATGACCCTTTATACTATGCTGCTCAGTGATTTATTTGTTACTCTTCGTTTTTCTTTACTGCTGTGGAGTTTAGTAAAGAGAGTTAATGCAAAATAGGAAGCCTCCTGTCATGTTATAAAATTGAGCTTAGATGAAAATAAGCAGCAATCTGCCTTCACTATGAGCACAACTTCAGGTGATTCCAGGTATACAGTCTATGTTATCACAAAAATTTTGATGCCTGGGTAAAAATTATATACAGCCAAATGAAAAAAATGAGGCATCTCCATATTCCCATAAAGAGCAAACTGTAAAGATAAAATCAATACCGTATAACAGGGTGCCAAAATCACTATAATTGCCAGCTTCTATTGAGTATTCTCACAAATAGATAGAAAGAATAAAAAAATTTGTAAGAATATTGTACAATTTATTGAAAAATAAAAAATATTCCAAAATTTCGACAGAAAAAATTAGGCAACGGCACAAGGAATAAATGTGCAACAATCGCAATTATAAGCCTAAACAGGCACAAAAAAACCTTATGGAAAGCAGCTAACTTCCAACATAGCACAAAACGTTGTAGTACAGAGAAATAAAGTGCAAGTGCTAAATTGCAAATATATTCAAGTAAGGGAAATTATAAGGTGCTTGAAATGCCACTTGAATGGCAGCTGACACCCACTATTCCTTCACAGCACACAGCAAAATAGTACAGAAGTATTTAAAAAGCTGCTAGTATCAAATTACTGGGTTCTTTGGAAAAGGCTCAATGCGTTTCATCGATTCGACTTCCTCAGGAGCTTCTGCCTTCTTCCTGGTCTTCTTCCTTTTAAATCCGCCGGTTCGTGTGTCTTGTTTGGTCACTGTGCATTGGCGGACCACGCTGGACGCGACGTCATACATCATGACTCGCGGGATGCTGATTCGCGCAAGAGCAGCCATGCTTGAACGCAAACTAACTTTATTGGTAATCTACACAGCCATCTCCGAACATATAAACTTAAAAACGTTCGGAATCTTAGCGATTCATGTTTACAATCCTGTCTATATGTATCTTTATTCTAACATAGAGAAAACTAACAAAAGAAAGGAAAATATAAATTGGACTTAATGTAAAAAATTGTTTTGTATTAAAAACCAAAAATTGAAGATGAAAAATGAATAAAATATAATATATGATATGTATGAAAGTAGTGCATTTATATATGTACATCAAATATACATTCCACGCTTGTTGCTTGACCTCATACATATATCAGAAATTTTCCTTATTATACAGGAACAGTTATATTCAGATAGATCATAATTGAGAATTCACATATTGTGAAATATCATAAATTGTGAAAATCACATATGGTCAGTTTTTCCAAATTATTAAAAATATATATCATGACCAGAAGGAATAATCAAATATATATAAAAAAACATACAAAAGAATATATAAAACCATAAATAAGGTAAATCTGAGGTATTTCAATAATGTAAACCCCCAAATTCATATTGTATCAAATTATATATAGACCATACATAAACATTCCTAAATATATAAAAGACATATTGAATAACAATACAAATACTAATAATAATACAAATGTTGAAGATAAGAACAGGTGAGGTAGAACAAAGGGAGATAAAAAGAGAAAGATAATTAATAACATGGTATGCAGTACAATCATTCCATAAAAGCCAATATATCAAGATCTGTATTAAAGCCTGAGGGTATAGAGGATTTCAATATATATCTGTCTCCCTCATGGCTAGCATTTTCTCTGTATCACCACCCCTCCAATGAGGGGTGATGATATTAATCCCAATGCATAAAATGTTATTAAAATTAAAATCTTTACAAGTTGTGCGGTGTCTTGGGGCGCTATGTTTCTTTTTGTTGATACCATTAAAATGTTCTAAAATCCTTATATGTAATATATTTAATGCATTTAATTCCTGTTACAAATGCAAAACAACATCACCCCTATCTTATTCAATCATACCGTACCAAGTGATAGCAACAGTTTTTTTCTGAACATTCATGACTGCCAAGGCATGCATGAACTGCAACAAGAACCTCACCAAGCCCACCCAATAAAGACTCTGATACCAAATTTAGGGTAAGAGCCTTGGCCACACCTTTATATAAACAAAACAGTATAGTTGAACATAAATCCTTAAACTGTCGGCTGTAGGACACCCGCCCACATGTAGGTCTCTTACACCCAGAGTTCGGCTCCTGTCAAATTACCAGTAACAGGAAGGAACCCCTTCGCCCATTGAACTAGCTTCCGCTACAGTTAATCCAGGTGCTGCTGGCCAGGGCAAACTCTGCAGCTGTGACAATAACTAAAAACAAAGAGAGTAAGAACAGAAGCCAAAAGAAGCTAAGAAAAGCTAGCAAGACCAAGAAAAGGGTTGGACGAGCGGGCAAGGCTGCTTACAGTGTTCTGCCCAGGATCAAGAGAAAGTAGAAAGGTAAGTGGCAACAATTTATACTTTCACCCCCAACACTGTATACATATTTATATAAACCCATAACGGCCTTGTAGGACTGTCCCAGACAGGCATGGAAGGCAGCCATGGCCCATCTCACTAAAACTGAGCACTGAGCTCTCTTGCATAGAACATTGCTGTAGCAGGAAGTAGTAAATTATATAGAAAAATGATAAGTTGGTCAAAAGTGGTAAATGGAGTACCACATAGTAAGTAGAGTACTTCATGGTAGAAAAGTAACAGATGAGATTCAATATAGATAAATGCACAGTCATGTATTTCAAAAAGAAACATTAAATGGGGTTGAGTTAGGGATAGTGTTGAAGGGAACCTACAGTCCTGAACAATAACAATCTTTATTTCTGGACTATAGGTTCCCTTCTGTGTATCCCCCTTCGCTGTGTGGAAATTATGTTAAATAAATATTTCTCACCTTGTTTCCCGTGCCAGTATTCCAACGCTGCAGCCTCCAGTGATGTCAGTAAGCATGCTGACGTCACCTGCAATCTCATCCAATCCAATGCTCGTACAATCTTATCCAGTCATGGAGGAGCACTGGATTGGAGAGAGCATGAGCGGCAAAACGCTGTGATCCTCCAATCAAATGCTGCTATTTGGTATTAAGGAGGAAGCGCCTCCAGTGGCTGTCAGGAAGACATCCACGACAGGTGGATTCAACCCTGCAATGTAAACATTGCAGTTTTTAAATACATTGAGATGAAGTGGTCTGAGTGACTATAGTGCTCCTTTAACTTCACGAACGCCCTAACCCCAAAGTCTGAAAAAGGTATGTACTTTTCTCAAGCAATTTTTATGAATGGGGAACTACTGTCTGGCTTAGAGAGACAGCTGACCGCTCTAAGCCAATCAGCGGCACCCTTGCCTGGCCTTTAAAAGAATTTCTGAAAGTGGTTATGGATCGGGACAAAGCTTGTGATCATGAGATGTAGGCACCTCCAGCCACAGGTGTACTCGGGGAAATATTTGCCCATAAGTACTCATGTATTTATTAAACCCGGAATTGTTGGCCATTGACCAGTGACTTTCACATTTTAAACGCCAACCTATAACAATAGCAGAATATGTAAATATTTCCAACTAGGGTATTTTGGCATGATTTTGCAAATTACCATTCCCTGGACAATTATCAGTCTAGTGAATAACCCCAACGGTCATAGAGCTATACAAGCTTCCACATGGTCTGTATCATTACTGTAATGAGAGAAAGCAAAACATTTGCATATAAACAAAGGAGAGATAATCTTGATGACCTAGTTGGAAGACTAACACCCATCATGCTCATCCCTTTGCCTGTAAACGACATTGAGCTATAGGAGTAAACGCTGTCTGTTTGTTACTGACTAAAGTTATTGTTTCAATCCCTTTCAAAGTGAGGACCACAGACCATGTTTTAACGGTGATGTTTTGAACGGATGCTTCCAAAAGGAATCTGTGGAGTTAATCTAACTACCTACGTGCAACATTCGCAAACTAATTCATTTAAACATGTACGGTTTCTGTAACATAAACTAAGGTTGGTCAATTCAAGGTTAAGTAAATTACTCAGGATTCACATATACTGATGAATAGCTTTAAACTCTTAAATGCTGGAGATGAGCAAA